AAAAACATGACACCTGCTTGGTATCGTCCTCATATACACTGACCATTTAATGCAGTTTCAAACAGATATTGAATAAAGGAGTTTCATTGTGCACATTAGAAATCCTGGAACCAGTTAGAGGCCAAGATGGTGATTATACAAACCACAGAGTAGTACTCTTATGCATTACGAGCTTTCTTTATTACCGTTTTGTTGGAGTTCACTATCTGGCCATCACACTTTGAAGCCAGCTTCAAACTGCATTAAATGGTCAGTGTAGATGCAGCCTTAGACAACAGAGGCAGTGGAATGTTCATCAAATGGGAAATACAAACATATTGGGGACAGTTACCTCCAAAATCTCAAATTGTCCCAAAAGCGAGTGCACCTGGTACAAAACAAGTTAGCTATGTTAATATCTAGCTCTTCACTAACCATCTTTGCCCAGTGATGTCTCTAAAGGGCAGCCTCAACTGGAACACTTTTCTACTGATCATGCTGTACCACACATGTAGGTAGCATGACTCTCCATATGTAGTAGGACTGCATCTCTCATCCACTTTAACCACTATAGACAATGGTGAAGGATGCTGGGTAATGTCATCCAGCAACTAGAGAATTACATGTTGCCTACCCTTGTTGTGTAGAGAGGTTTCTTTCTTGAGTCACTATTGAAATTCTTGATCACACTTAGATGCTGTTAATGGCATTTTGTATTATCGCTTCGGAGAGGAATGAGTATAATAATACAGTGAAGCAATTCATTCTTAACTGAGCAATAGTATGATCATGCTTTTTGTCCCAAAGCATCTACCAATGACTGGATGATCTCAATATGTAATTATATTACTAAAAATTCATTTTTCAAAATCTGAGTAAGGTTTGAAGTACTTTTCTCTGAATGCAACAGAAAGGATTGATAGATTAAACTATACATTTTAAACTCATTTTGGAATGTATACCATGTACATTTTTCATGTTTCTTGAGTCACTTCTGCAAATTTAGAGGCTTTTAATGGCAATGAAAATATATCTTGCAACATTACTTTTAAGAAGGATGAGTATTATGATATAGTAATGCCATTCATACTTAACTGAGCAAAAGAAGGATCATGCTTTGTGTCCCCAAACATCTGCGTATGCCTGCATGATCTCAGCATGCAACTACATTGATTAAAATTCATTTTTCAAAATATGAGTAAGTTGTTGTTTTCTTTCCTGAACCAGAACTGATAGGTTAAACTATGCATTTAAACTCATTTTGAAGTATATACCATGTACATTTTTATGTACACCTCATCATATTGCAAACCTAGTAATATTCAGCATAAGCATGGTATAATACTAGCTCAATGTAATTGCAAAATGTCTATGCTACACTGAGGCAATCAAGGATCTTTCCAGAGTTGCTTATGCATGAAATGAACATGTTTACACACAGGTGTACATAGAAAGAACAGCCAAACACTGCAGACACATCACATGTAGAAAGGCCCAGACAAGACAACTTGAGCATTACCAAATATGTACAAGAAACAAGAGAAGACATATTTTGTGGCCATGAAGTAATAGGAAGACATTAACCAAGCACAGTAAATATGTGGCTACAGACCCCATGTGCCCCCTCTAAAGATTCAAACTTTTTTCACCACACCTGACATGCTGGCAAAATTTTGCCCCCTGCCTTTTTGTAAAGGCTGTTGTTAATAGATTATCTATGCTAAAATGGCACTGGGGTCCTAAAAACTTGGGAAACTGCTCCTACCTCCTAGATGGCATTTGAAGACAACAGAAAAGATTTTCTAGGGAAGGTGCAGGCCTCCAAGATCATCTGGGAAACTAATGCCACTGTCTAGTTTTAGTTGGTTGCCTACCTACAGAGACAAAGAATTACACATTGGAAATGCAGATAATTCATAATTTCATGGATCTTCGTCGATATCTGAATACAAGGGGCAAAATAATACATTGTGAGTGTCCAAATAACCTTTTTCCTGCAGAATATAGGCAACGGCCTTTTAAACAAGGATCTCTGCTTACTGTATATTTTCATTGGGGTCACATGCTTTTTTACTAGAATTTAATTAGATGGGTATGTTCTGAAAACCTCTGGCTGGAATCAGGTGTAGGCCACATGGCTCTAATCAGGAAGGCCTGGGTCTCCTTATCTCTTTGGTCTCTGTTTGTAGCTTTAAAAACATCTAAGTGTTTCATGGACATCTACAAAGTGTTGGATTTCTTGAACCTTTTTTGTCCCCCAGATGTTCTTACATTCTCTGGTCCTTTTTTGGACCTCAGCTTTTGCACTAGCATAGGTTTTTTTTTCCTTAGTTGACATCTCCTTTCTATACTTGGAAGGCTTTCCTTTTTTTATCGATTATATGTTGGATCTTGTCATCATTCCTATCAAACCAGTCTTGATGTTTCTTAGTTTGATATACAATGGTTTGTTCACAGACTGTAATGATAGAGGTCATTGGTTTATTCCAATGTTTCTCAACACTTTCAGGGTGTTCCATAGATTATCCTTAAGTGTTGTCAGGAGAAGGGCTCGTTTAGAAGTCTCTTGAAGGGCTAGAGCAGGCATGGGTAAACTTTGACCCTCCATGTGTTTTGGATTTCAAATCCCACAATTCCCAACAGCCGGTAAATTGGCTAGGATTTCTGGGAGTTGAAGTCCAAAATACCTGGAGGGTCAAAGTTTGCTCATGCCTTGGCTAGAGGGTGAAAGGGAGAAATGTGCAGAGAGAAAGGCATGTCAAGCAATCCCTTGTTGTGACCTTCTACCTGGTAACCTATGTTCTCATTGTGACAGACCATGTGGATCCAGAATAGGTCTCCTCAGTCACTTATGGACCCACCGCCAGGACTCTGTCCATAGAAGACAATCCTTCTCGGCCATGACTGATCACCTATAGTTGAATATAGTTTTGCCCAGAAAAGTTTGTGATACATTGGCCTTAGGGTCACCATAGATCAGAAATTGCTCCAAGGCACACAACAACAACAAAGGGTGCCACCGCACTATAGAATTAATGCAGTTTGACACCATTTTGACAAATATGTCTTAATGCTATGTCATCCTAGTAGTTCTAGTTTTGCAAGGTTTTGAGTCTTTTCTACTGAAGGGTGCTGATGTCTCGCAAAAATACAATTGCCATGATTCCATAGCATTGTGCCATGGCACTTAATGTGGCATCAAACTTCCGTAATTCTGCAGTGAAGATACACCCAAATTCTAGTTCCAGAGTGCATTCAGGTATAGTGTGCCATCCCTACCCCCCAAATACAATATTCCATAACAGGGTTTAATTCAGCCTCATATCAAAGAGAAAATGCACAAAAATTTCGCTTTTGATGCTGATGAATACCTGTTAATTAAAAGCACTGGTCCTTTTGCAGATTTTGATTTTTTACAAAAACACACACATTTTTACCTACCTTGTAATTATATGATAGGTAACATGTAAATAAAATAGGGTGCCAGATACAAAGAGCAGAGGGTTGTACAGGGCAGTTGTATCTTTAATAGTTGTTTGTGTGTGTTGGGGGGGAGGGGGCGGGGCATGGCAGGTATAAATTTTCATGCAAGTGCCACTTGAAGACATTCTTTCTTCTACACAATGATCTACATTTCACTGATCTCTTATGAATGTGACCATCCTGTTCAAGATGAACTTTGAAAGAGGGCAAGACAGATTCCTTCAAGATTTCTTTCTGCATAGGCTTTCACATAGGAGCAGTATATCTGGATAAAGGGATTCCTTGGGAGCAATTTTTAAAAGATCAGTCAGAGGTCTGGTGTTGCTATTTAATGATTAGGTAATTGACATTTGCTGGTACATATATATATCTACATGAAAGAGAAGAATGTAGATTGAAGCTTATCTCTCCCAGAGGAAGGCTCTTCATAAGGTTAGTGTTTTGCTGAAAAATAATTTTGAAGTATTTGTTTTAAAATATCTTGTTAAATTTATTGCTAAGTTTTAATAATTTTGCAATTAGTATTTTTTTTTCAAAAAGTTCTATGAATGACTGTTTTAACCAAGACTAGGGGGTTGGTGTTATTTAAATGGTAAGTCCATTGTTTTTACTCAGTTATTAGATGGAGTTATGAGCATAGTCTCCAACTATCCTGATTTCATAGGAACAGTCCAAAATAATCCTCTTGTCATTTTGAAGTGCTTTAAAATGTCCCAGTTTCTCTCTTCTTCTCCCATGCTCCCTATTTGTCTTCAGATTGCTCCAATTGATGCAACCAAAGCTCAAAATAGTAAAGTAGTTTTCACTCAGTTGTGCAACTCTGAACTTCGGCCAATATTGATCTTTTGAGGGAATAAACAATGCTTGGAAATAGGTTGAAAACATACAACGGAGGAAATTAAATTTGTAGGTAAAAATATTTCACAAATATTAAACTGAACTGACCAAACACAAAAGGTGAAGTCAGTGATTTTGGGGGTATCTTGTAGTGTTTGTTTTTTAATCTGGATCTTTTATTATATTGTTGAATGCTCATCGTGAATCTAAAACACATCATATTATCCCAGAGATGGGAGGGAAGCTGGAGGGAAAGCAGGGAAGGGGGGACCCATCTGACCTGGCAAGGCCCATCTTTGGGGATGGCCAGCCATCCCATGTCATTTCACATTCCTTTCAGCTTTCATCCACTTCCCACCTTCTCAAAACACCCACCTCCTGAAAATGGAGTCTTCTTATCATCTTTGCATGCTGGCAAGGTGGATTCTCAGGGGGAGCCACCAGAAGTGGCTGTGCATCATGGGATGGCCTCCATGGGACACCATTTTACCAGCATGCTAAGATGGTGAGAAAATGAGGGGAAGTTAAGGTGGGAGAACATCCTTACTAAAAATTGTACTTTGGAGATTTTATGGCTATGATTCCATGTTGTTTTTAAGAGTTTGTCACTTAAGAGTTTAGGCTGTTTGCAGGCAGCTTTTGATTTTATTTTTTTGCAACTTCCATGTGAAACTAATTGAATTCCCTTCCATGTTTCTAGGATGGATTACAAATCTTCAACTACTGGAGTTCTCATCCTGCTTGGACTTCTGTTGCACATGCTTGAGGGACAGAGAATCCCAGTATCTGAAGGCTTTATTCATGGGAAAGATCTGGACAAAAGGGTGGCTAATAATTCAGACCTGTTACAGCAATGCCAGGACTCCAAGTACAGCAATAATGGGAAACCAAATCTATCTTGTGATGAAGAGACTGAGCCAATCCCAGGCACACTATATGTAACAGAGGAAAATTACCTAAATCAAGGCTGGTGCAAAACACAAGAGTTAATGCAAACTATCCATGAAGAAGGCTGCAAGAGCTACACCTTTTTGAACAGGTTCTGTTATGGCCAGTGCAATTCTTTCTACATCCCATGGCACATCCACGATAAGAGAGGTGTCTTCCAAGGTTGTTACTTCTGCAAACCGAAGCGATTCACCACCACCTCAGTGACATTGCACTGCCCAGACCTTTTACCCCCAAGGAAGAGAATGATGATCAGGCAAGTTGAGGAATGCCACTGTATTCCTGTGGATGTGGACTAGAAGAAGATAACTCAATAGACAATATGGCAACTCCTTAAAGAACTTCCTTAAGAGGGTTTATGTCAATATCAATATCAATCTCAAATATCAATCTCAAAATCATGCATACAAAGTCACACTTCTAATTTGGACTGTAGGTTGTCACTTGCATACTTGTAATGTTTTTCTTTCTAGTCATGTCTCTCACCAGTTCACCTGCATGCTGGGATTCTTGCCAGGATCTATGCTGTTGACTTTCATGATGATTAGTGACATGTTGGGGGAGGGAGGTGGGGAGGGCACTGATGTATTTTGGACTCAGAGTTTCCTAAAGGAGCACTTAAAAGGAATACTGTTAGAGATTGTTATTGAAACACCTTTTGTAGATAATATTTAATGGCCAAAATAAAGGATTCAATTGCGATTTTAAAGAAACTTGAGAAGCCAACTTTATTTGGAAATGAAGTATAACCTGGGGTTAATGGAGGAAGTGCAAATTTTACAGAGAGGCAGTAGGTAAAGTGGTAAGTGGACATGTTAGAACACAAAGTAGAAGAACAGTAATAACAATGATCTAGTGATAAATGAAGGCAATCTGTTCATTGATTTTACCAATTCGAGAGAGTGTCTGAAGCAGCAGCATATAACTTAGGATGCAGTATGCTTGGAACATTTTTTTTGCTTCTCATAAAAATATACACTACTTTTAAGATCACAAGCAATTACTATGCTGAATGGCAGGCATGTAGCTGGGGGAGGGGGGCTTGGGGGCTTTAGCCCCCCCAAAAAAATTCTCATGGTGGTCTGCGAAAAGGCCTTACTGTTACATTATTTAAACTGTTATGTTTATTCATATCATGATCTGATCACCATGCTCAATATATCTCATATGCATGGGGGCATTGGGGTAACGATACAAAAGGTTTGCTGGGGTAGACCCTCTTTCACTCGGACTCAAAATCCTGGCTACGGGCCTGCTGAATGGGTAAGTCTTGTGTACACTTTCTGTTCAACCAATTCGCAATGTAGAAGATGCACAGCTTCATTCAAAATGCAGAATTCATGGGAGCCAGTATGGTATAGTTGTTTAAATACGGGACTGCAACTCTGGAGGATCAGGGTTTGAATCCCCTCTCAGACATTGAAAATGCTGTGAGGGGAGACCTGTGCAACTTGAAATCTCTTTGAACCTCAGAAGACAGTAAACCATGTGATAGAATTGCCATAAATTGGAAATGACTTGATGGCACACAGCAAAGAATTCACGGTGTGTATCTGTCATGTCTCTTTCAAGTTTTATGTATATTAATCTGCAGTACAGCAACTAGCAAATATACAATAACTACAAAAGTCAAAAGAAACTTAAACATGGACATTTAAGGGATATATCCCAAATTGCAGCCTTTTATAGAGGTATGCTCAGGCTTGGAGAATGTGTGTGATGTAGTGGTTTGAATGTTGTATTAGGACTCTAGAAACCCAAGGTTCAAATCTTCATTTAAAAAAAAACATTTTGGTAACTTTGGTCATGTCACATACTCAATGCCTAAGATTAAAACAATGGGACGTATCTTCAGAATAAATTTTGCCAATAAAATCCCATTATAGGTTCACCGTAAGTCAAAAGTAGCTTGAAGGTTCACAACAAGTGCTCCTGTAGAAACCTCCTGATTTTTGCATTACAAGTTCTGCTGTGTGAAATTAGTCTAATTGAACAGTGGCATTGTCACTTTCATGGGATTGAAGAGTTTTCGTTTAATTGCTTCTGGGCAAAGGTTTAGATACTCTCTTGTTTTAACTTGCGTGGTTAGTTTCTTTTTCTCTTCCTATATTTTGTGCCACATGAAGCAATTTTAAAATCCCATAAAGAAGTTTTTTGTAGCAAGACTTAAGAAGAATTACAGGTAAACTCCTAAGGGAATTTATGGATAAAAATATAGAAGACTCTTGAGAGAGTTAAGGAGATTTTGTACATATAAATTCTTCATAAACCAACTGTTGCTTTCTGAAAAGCTATAATAAACAACTTTGGTTAAGTTGACAGCTCTTGACAAGATAGATGCATCAAAGGCAAGCTTACAAATTGCAGGGCAACCTTAAAGTAGCAGCAAGTTCACATGGAAAATAGAGTTGGGACTGATATAACGGTTTATTTTATGCTACTTGGTGCTTTTAAAGCACTTCCCACTAGCAAGTCTTCTACACTACGCAATGCATACATGGTATATTACACACATTACACAAGGGGCATAACCCATCGAAGCAAATCCACATGCTAAGCTGGCCTCATGCTTAGGAAGATCATCCCATTCTGTTCCTTTCCAAATCATGTAGCTTCCTGCCACTGGCAAGAATAGATACACAAACCAGGATAGCTAATGTTTTGTGAATCTCTCTGTATAGCCTGCCATAAGAGCAAGGACTCTCAATTGTTAGGGTTAAGACTGCCATAGAAGTGTGTGTACACATTGGCTTCTATGGCTCAAATATCTGTGTTCAATATGTGGATGACAGGCCTGAGGTTGGCATCCCTGTTTGGATGGCCTTCCTGCTTCTAATGGGTGAAAAATCTAAAATCAGAACTAGACTTTTAAAAAATCTAGTGAATCTGCTTGCCAGAGGATTCTGGAAGCTGCAATCCAAAAGGTAACTCTTTTATATTCTGATTAAACCATCCTGTGCTTGTAATCTCCCTTGGCTAGAGTATGCTTTATTTCTCAGCAATGTCACATAGCTTTGTATGGCCTCTTGTATATTTATATTGCTTTCTACCCTGCTTGTGATTGAATTGTTGTTCTGTCCTCGCTTCTGCAGCGTGCTTTATAATTCTTTGGCAGCCTATTCACCTATTGTCCTGAAATTACACATCACTGCTGCCTCCCTTTTCCATTCTAACTGCAAAATGAATTGTGAAAAAGAAGAAATTACTTGCTTTAAGATGCTTCTGATAGTTTGAAAACACATGCTAGATAAATAGTACTTCTTTTCTAGAAGTACTGATACTTTTATTATGTTATTAAATCCATCAGTTTGCAGTGTGCAACTTTTTTTGCACCCCACAATTTGCATTGCTGCGTCATTCCTTATGGAAAGGAAGAATTGAGTGGAAGAAATTATTAGCTAATAAACACTGGATGATTCAGACCCCCAAAACACATCAATATCTCCAGTCACAATTTACATTTGAATAAGTGCTTTGCTTTATGAAGCTACACTCACTTTCCCTAAATGGAAATGAATATGATAATAACAAAGAAATCACATTGTGCTTCTCCATGTTTTTAATTAGACTCTGTTTGTTCCAAAACAGACTTTCCAAATTGTCACCAGCATTGCTCCCTCCTGACAGCCATGGGTTGATGTGTAGTTAATAAAACATCATGTCAGAGCCATAATGAGAGTATGTGCTGTGCTTGTTTCCTCTGCGATTAGGCACATGAGAAAAGTTTATCTTGAGCCATTGTTTTTGCTGATAAGTGTTGGTATGCACAGTTTTCTGAGCAACTCTCAAAACATATGATGGCTCCTTTAAGTGATATCAGTGCCCACATAGGTGCAAAGGGGCACAGTAGCCCTGAATGCTGTCTTGCTTTTCAAAATGCCAAGTGGTTCCAGCAGCAAGTGTGAGTCACACATCCTGAAGCTGTCTAGGGATCTAAATAGCTGGCGCATGGTGATACAGGCTATTCTATGAATAAGTTATCTGGCTCTGTAACATTTCAGCTTTCATTTACTAACAAAGGTGTCTCAAGCTGTCATGATTTAGCACAAAGCAGAAGGGGGGGGGAACCCATTCTCACCAGCTTTTAAGTTCAAACAATGCAGGAACATCTTTAAGAATCAATAAAAAAAATCTCAGCTGATCGCTTTGAAAGGAATAACGTGTACAAAGACATCATGCACTCACCAGTTGATAACAAAGAGAGGGACAGAAAATATTCAGGCTATATATATGCTTGCACAGAGAAAGCAGCCAACATAGACACAGAAACTAAGACTCATATTTATGTACTCTGAAACTATGTTTGCCAGGTGTGTGTTTCGGGAACCATACAACCCTTATCTTACAAGAACTGCACCAACTTCCCACTTGTTCAGGTTGAGATGTTTGTTTTGAAATTCTTAAGTTGTTTAGACACAAAACATCTCAAAGACTGCCTCCTTCCATATCATACCATTCAGAACTTCGCAGATGAAAACCTGGTCACCTGTGACCAAGCAGAATCAGAGTGTGGTCAAGATGGCAACTGTTATCAGTGAGGAAAAAACAGATAGGCTAAGCTAGGACATGCTGTAGCAGTCTGCTTTTGCCTGAGCTGACAGGAAAGAACAAATTTGGGCCCTGCTCCTCTCCTTGTCCCATTCTCCAGTTAACTGAGCAACTCAATCAGAACAGTAAATAAAGAACAGCAATCAAAAACCAGGGGAAATCCAGACAGGAAACAATCAGGGCCAGCTAACACCTCCCAACAAAGGATTCCCCCAGGCAGCAACTGGCTAGGCTTTGAAGCTGCAATGACATTCAATGCTAATCAAGGTGGATAATTGCAACATTCACACTTGCCTCAAACAGACAAGAGTTCTTTCTCCCACCCTGGACAATCCACAGATATATAAACCCCACTTGCCTAGTTTCCAACAGACCTCACAACCTCCGGGGATGCCTGCCAAAGTGGAATGACATAGGATTGAACAGAAATGTACCAGACAATGTGGGCCTGCTTGGAGATATGCCATAAGAATCTGTGAAATTAGAGATAGTGCTGGTCAGGTTATGTGTTCCACCTCTTTGCAAAGCTAGCTGGAAGGAACACATAACAGGATTCTCTTCGTAGCAGTATCTATGTCTCCTAAGGGAAGTCATGTTGGCTTCTTCCCTTTTAAAATTCTGGCAGACAGCTGAGATTGTACCGTTTGCTTGGCTTTCAGAATTATGGTTGCTTTATATTTCTGGTTTCTAATTATTACCAAGAAGTATTCTTATTCTGGTTTTTAAAGCTGTTTTTAAAAGCTTTTATGTA